GGGTTTCTTTAGGCTGAGAGGTATCAATCTGAAACTTTATTTATTTATTTATTTATTTATTTATTTCTGGCTCGCTCAGAATGCCTTCAGGGGAGGTTTGGCTGGCTTGAGTTCTGGGGATTGAACCACAGCAACCTGAGGCTGACTGCTTTGTTGAAGCAGCCACTTAAAGAACTGAGCTGAAACTTTTTTGACTTCATTGTGAACACCTTTTTTTTTTTCTCTCTCTCTCTCTCTCTCTCTAGCTGCTTTGGATATTTCTGCTTGAAATGTCTCTTTTTTTTGTCTGTATCCAGGAAAGTATAACTTTTTCTGTTTTCCTACTGGCCTTCTTTCCCATAGGATGCTAGTATTACTATTTTATTTTTCATCTATAATTTCGTTTTGTATCCTTTTTACTATGAAACACCTCAACTCAGACAAATTTATTCCTGCAAACCCTTTTAACTTTTTTGGCTTGTGTCAGAAATCTGGGGCTCACTGAGCAAGATATAACTTTTTGGTTTTAGATTTTACCTGTATGGTTACCTGGGTTTTGGTATCTTCTAAGAACAGATTTTTTGAGAAATTGGAGCACATATAATCAAAGCATGAGCATTCGAACTAACAGGTACATTTATAAACTTTGAGACCTAGCAATCGTGACTCACTAGCTCTTAGACCCATTTATTTATAGAGTCTGACGGTTTGCTATAAGCTCCTCTAGTTTTAGTTAAGAGAGGTCACATATGTATTTACTATCAACCTGAAATACCTGATCAACCAGGTTAATACATATACTTATTATGAAATACACAGCATTTAGTCAGATTAAACCAATGAAATACCTTTTAAGTCTTTGTACATTAACAACAATACATATTACATTTGTAAAAACTAGTCTTAGCATAATTACGATTGGTTAGCAACCTGAATATATTGTAGTATCTCAGTTACAGCTAAAGCAAGATGTGCTTTAAAGTATTTTTATTGAGGTAAGATGACTGGAAGAAAAGTCAGGGTTGGAGAAGGACAAAGAGACCTGTGCCAATATCCAGCAATAGGCTGGAATTTCCTCTAGTCATGATTACTCAGGGCTCCTCTGTGGAGATGCAGGTAGAAGTAACAGTCTGGCCAGGGGGGAGAGGTAGGCCTAGTGCCCTTCAGTCCTGCTGGACCACCTGGGAAGCTGAGACTGAGCTCTGGGGCCTCTGCCTCAGAGTGTAGTCTCACTTCTAATGGCTGCCTTGCCAGTCAGGGCATGGCTTGTGTGGCCACAGTTTATTGACCCCAATTTATTTATCATTGGGCGATCTCATGTCTTTTTGTCTCTGTGTGTAAGTTTGTGGTCAGCCAGAGAAGTCTGACCTTGTCCAGTATTCCCATCCTGGTTTGTGGAACATTTACCAAGGTCACCCAGAGTATTATTACCAGATTTGCCCTTTAGACTTCTGTCTCCTGGTCCCTTGTTTGCACTAACTATGATAGCACCCTCAGGCAGATGGAACCTTGGTCTTGTTACCAAACATGCAAATTCTTACTGACACTGTGATCAGTGTGGATGTTTTCTTTGTTTTGCTTCAAGTCAAGTCATCTCCCTGTCATGGAAGCTGTTTGTTATCTTAAATTTCCTCACCTTAGTGGAACTACCTTTCCCACTAACCAAGAGTGTGTGAAGGGAACAGCCCCAGGTAATAGTGCCACATACGACCACTATTCTAACCCAAAGTTCAGTAGATTCTAGTGAATAACTACAGAGATGAAATATTTGAAAAAACAACGAAATTCAAAATAAAACATGGGTGTTACTTGGAAATTTTATACAGATAGTCATAGTAATTGTAAAGTAAATGTATATGTTTGTGTTTTTCCCACCAGAATCTCCCAGGAAAAAGGACTTGACTATCTGCAAAGATACATCCTGATAAGAAGTTGGTAAAAGCAAAGGAACAGAGTTTAACAGCTAGTGAGCAGAGTTTCAAGCCGCCAGGATTTCGTATTTGTTGCTTCCAGCTACATTCTTCTGTTGCCTGCTTTTAAATCAGACATACTCTCAGAACCCAGAAAAGACAAAAAGATACTTTTCTTTTGCATTTGTTTTTAGGTCAAAAAGAAACTGCAATGTCTAGGAAACAAAACCAGAAGGGTAAGATTATGTATGTGGGCATAAACTGTTAAAAGAACAGTTGTAGTAGGCTGGGGGTGTAACTCAGGTTTAGAACACTTGCCTAGCATGCACAAGACCTTAGGGTTGATCCCTAATATTGCCCAACCCTCAAAATAAAAAGTTGGCAAAGATCATTTTAGCTACTTATTTATTTATTTATTTTTTTTGGTGGAACCGGGGATTGAACTCAGGCCCTTGCACTTGCCAGGGAAGTGCTTATTCCACTGAGCCATCTCCCCAGCCCCTTAGCTGCATATTTATTAGTGTTCTTTATGTATGTCCATGGATGAGACAGTGGCTCACTCTGTGGTCCCGACTGGCCTTAGACTCGTAGCAATACTCATGCCTCAGTCTCCTGAGTGTTGGGATTATAGGTGTGTACCACCATGTCCAGATTGCTTTTCTACTAGTACAAACTTGTCTATTGTAATAACTTATACGAAAGCCAAATGGAACTTGATGCTGCAGTTTTTTTATTTTTTATTTTTTGGACTGGGGATTGAACTCAGGACCTTGTGCTTGCCAGGAAGTCATTTATGCCACTGAGCTATATCCCTGGCCCAGATGGTGCATTTTTGGAGAGTGAACATTGGTTAAGGATGACTCTTCAGGATATTCTGTATCCCTAGCGAAAGGAAATGAAGTAAAAGTAAATGCTTGTAGTTTTTCTTGCCTTCTTTAGTTTTCCTTCCTGGGTTATTACTCTAGCCTCTTGTCCAAGTGTAATATGAGTAACAAGGGATCAGGAAATAAGAGTAGTTAGAATAAGAGGAAGGACCACAAGTTCTGTAAAATCTTTTTCAAGTTTCCTAAAACAGCTGCAAAAATATAAAGGCAGGTATTTAACAATAACACTAGAACTGCTGCACGTACATAGAGTATATTAAAGAATGACTATAAGTATCCAGGCTTTTTACCTTGTTCAGTTGAATTGTCAGTTTGACATCAGTTTCCTTATAATTCAAAATAAGCATGTTCAGTCCAGATCTTGGATGTTAAATATAAAGGAAGTTCTTTCAATTTTGACTTGGCAATTCAAAAACTTCATTTTGTTGGGCATTGATAGCACACTCCTGTAATCCTGGTACTTGATTTACTGTTTTTTTGTGGTACTGGGGATTGAACTCAGGACCTTGTGCTTGTCAGGCAGGCGCTTATGGTGCTCCTGAGCCCAATCCTAGTACTTGAGAGGCTGAGGAAAGGGATTGCTTCAAGTTCAAGGCCAGCCTGTGCTACATAATTGGAACCTGTCTCCAAACCACCCCCCCAAAAAAAAAGATGAGGAAAAAAGAAATTTTTTATAAGAAAATAATATACCGGAGCTATTTGTGGTTTTGACAGCTATAACTTCACTATGTACTAAATCTTTATAAAGAAAGTATAAGCTCTAAGGAATTGTTAGATTGTTAAAGAAACTGAACTCTCCTATGCAATAAGATTTATAAGCTGAAAAGGTTTTTAAAACCCAAGGTTGTTTTTAGTTAGTATGGTTCATTTTTTTCCCCCTGCCAGTTATACTTGAAACATTGGGTATCATCAGTTTTCCTTTAAGTAGAAAATGCCAGATAAAACTAAGATTCTGGACTTAAAAAAGAAAATAATTTTGTCAAAAAGTTTAATATTTAATTTTGTCTAAAAAAATTTCCTCTAGCAGCTTCTGAAAACTGGTAGTTTATTTTTTTTTAAATGCATTTGGTACAGAGTCTACAGGGACTACAGAGTCTCACTATATAGATTGGACTCATAGTGATCCTCTTGTTTTCAGTCCCCCAAGCACTGGGATTATAGGTGCGTGCCACCACACCCAGTCTCAAGTGTCATCTCAGCGTACCCTGGGGGTGGGGTTGGCCTGGCACTCCAGGTATGGTACCCTCGCCGCTGCTCTCTGCCTAAGGAGTCACTTTAGTTGCTGAGCTATCTGGTTGACCCACTAGTAGTTGTATGTTTTGCCAGAGTTGTGAAGAAGTATGATTACCTTTTGTACTTGGTACCTACTGTGATATTAATTTAAACTTAAAGCCACAGTATAGGAATTAAGTGCTTAACAATTTTTTGTTGAGTGTATCCTACATTTACACATATTTGGAAGTGACATAAAAGTTTTATATAATAGAACTTTCTCTAAAACAAATCTATACATATAACTGATTTTGATATCTGATGTTAGAACTAAGCAAGTAATAATTTATCCTTCTTACTCATTTATACATTTAAATTTTCATTGCTTGAGTTATTTTTAGTCTGAGATACATAATTATATGGACAGTCACCCTGGTTACACAGTAATACATTAAAGAGAGATGTACACACATGGTTGTGTGTGCTTATAATGTTAGCATTTGGGAGACTGAAGCAGGAGGATCACTGCAAGTGGAAGCCAACCTGGGAAACATAATGAGATCAAGGGCAACTTGAAGTACATAACAAGACTGTCTCAAGAAAGCCAGAAAAGAAACGAAGAGATAGAAAGAAAAGTAAAGAAAGTGGGCCGGTGAGAGCTCAGCAGACTAAGTACCTGCTTAGGCAAGCACAAGGACCAGGATTTGATCCCCAGCAACACATGCTGTGCTAGCCCCACTCTCAGGTACACTGGTGGTGCGCACTTGTAATTCCAGCACTGGCGAGGCCAAAATGGGAGGATCACTACAAGTCCAAGCAATGAAGTATTTAATGGGTAAAACTTGAGTGGCTTGACTAAAGCTTACCCTTCCAGTGAAGGAGACGAGACGTGCTGGTGCGCGTCTTTCGATAGACATTAGGGAATTTTGGCTTGGGATCTTTTGTAGAGGTTGAAGGGAAGTTGGCGTAGGCTGGACTACGAGAAACGAAATAAGTCTTTGAATACTATGTATGAAAACGGAACCTTGGGAGACTGGGTAGCAAATGGAGTAGAAAGGAAAAGAGAAGGCACGCGCTAGGGCACGTGACCAGAAGACACAGGTCCACGCGGTGCATCTCTGAGAGACAGCGTGAACACACCGAGCATATGACCAGCTTTCATGACAGCCAGCAGAGAAACAAAGCGCCTTTTCATGGGTGGCCTTAGCCAAGCCGTTTCTAAGACAGATCTACAAAATCAGTTCAGCAGATTTGGGGAGGTTTCTGATGTGGAGATCATCACACGAAAAGATGACCAAGGAAATACACAGAAAGTCTTTGCATATGTTAACATCAGAATAGCAGAAGTAGACCTGAAAAAAATGTAAGACCATTACATAATTTCTGTGCTATTTGTGCTTTGATGTCACTGTGTAACTTGGAATAATTTTGTCTCTGAATCTAAATCACAGTAACTTCTTCTAAATTATGGCCATAGTTGCTGGGCATGATGGCACATACCTGTAATCCCAGTACTTAGGATACTGAGGCAGGAGGATCTTTGTGTGTTTGAGACCACCTTGGGCTACAAAGTGAGCTCAAGGCCAGCCTGAACTGCATCGGGAGACCTGGTCTTAAAAAGACAAAATTAATTAATGAATTATGATTATGACCATAGTTAAGAAATTGTTGTATCCTATGTCTTGCCAGGGTTGGGTCAGTTCCATTTGTGTCTGCAAACTGTAGTAGCATATGGCAAGAAGGGTTATTTAAAATCTGGTTTTCTCAAATAATTTGGACAGGGGTCAAAGTTTTATCTTACTGAATGTGTGGACACACAGCTCTTCAGTGTATTCTGTTCTTAGGCATTGTTGATAAATACTGTTGAGACTATAGAGTATTCCCTCACAAGCTCATCTTTAAAACTGTGATACCTCTTATTATTAACTAAAAGTGAATGGTGGCCTTCAGTGAAGAAGGAAGGGGACAGAATTTACAGTGGTGCTGAAAACTGAGTTGCGAACTCAGCAAGACCCTGTCTCAAAATTAAAAAAAAATTTTAAAGAACAGAGGATATAGCTCAGTGGTTTGATCTAATACTGGAAGGAAAAAAAATCAGGAGAGGGCTAGACCTGTAGACCCTAGATATGTGAGGCCATAGAATCCATAGCACAACAGCAACAACAAAAAAAAAGTTAAGAGAACTTAAAAATTTGTAATAGTAGGTTCATGCTTGGAGTGCCTATTATTCTGGTCTTCTGAATACGTACTGCTTGTCATGACATGCCAGTTGCTACTGTGCTGTCTCTCAGGTAGATGATTGTTTAAAAAGGAAGGCAGTGGTAAATGAAGGCAGGAGACAGGAAAAGGAGTGTTGCGGGACTGTCCTGCTACAATGCTGTATATGGTTAGATTTCTGGACTTATGTGTAAACATATATAATTCTTCCTATTTTTTTAATATATTTCAATTGAAAAATTTTTGTTATATTCTGTAGGGACTTAAAGTTTAACATATCAATGCTTGATGAAAAATAACCTGTTCCATGTTATGTCTAAGATGTTTGATATTCAGACAGATAGTGAGGTTAAGCTTAACAGCCTAGGTTGTATGGTAATAATAAGCTTCGCTTCTGGAGGGTTAACAACCTGAGTTTGCAGTCCAAAAATTAGAGAAAAAGGAGAGCCTCAAGGAAAGCCAATATTTTGGCCCTAGCCTTCCAAGCTAGGACATATGAGAACTTATACTGTAACATCATGTAACTCAGTTGTGTCCCAAATTTTCTAATCAAGGAGATTATGGGACCAAAGAGGAAAGTGATCAACAGTGTAGACTGTGCCTAAGGAGAGTAACATGGAGAGAAAGCATTTTCTCAGGCTTTCACAGATGGCAAATTGGCCAAGCAATGGCCATGACTCATCTACATGGCTGACACTGACAAAGGATCTACAAACTGAGGTACAGAGTCTCAGGATAAATCCTGAGGTGATTTGACTGACCTTATCAGATCCAAAAGCTACAATTCTTGTTACATAGGTCTTGCTTTATCTTGGTCTTAACCATCCAGCACAAAAGTATAAAAACGAAGTATAAGAAGTAAAGCCAGGGCCAGGGAGATGGCTCAGTGGAATAAGCGCTTCCCTAGCAAGTGCAAGGGCCTGAGTTCAGTCCTCGGCTCTGCAGAGAAAAAAAAAAAAAAAAGTAAAACCATGTTGTTATGTTGAGCTGTAGGGGACTCAGGTCAACAACTTCTGACATTGCCAGTCAAGTGAAAGACCCAATACTATTATGGACTACTGAACTATTTTGGAATATTTTGCTGAGTTCACACACCTAAAATATTTAAATGATGGAACTAAGCAAAAAAAGGGATACAGATGAATGACCATTTTGCATCTGTGTATTCAAAATGGTTAGGAGTGATATATAGCTACATTCTCTTAATTCAGTGAATAGAAGGATTTGTTCTAATAGTGTTTATAAATAGGATGTTATGTCTGCATCTTGTACAACAAATAACCACTAGGAAGACAGTATGCAATGTGTTAATTATTGAAACTGTCCTAATTTGATTTGAAACTGTCTCATTGCTATTTGTTTCTCAATAAAATTATGGAAAAAAGAACTTAAAAATAAAAGAAGCATACTTGTACACAGAGGAAGAAGACCATCTTTTTTTGTTTGTTTGTTTGTTTGTTTTTCAGAACCAGGGATTGAACTCAGGCCCTTGCGCTTGCCAGGGACGCGCTTATTCCACTGAGCCATCTCCCTGGCAACCATCAGTTTTTTATCATTTCCTTTACAAAGATTATCGCATTGCTCAGTGGGGAAAGATGAATTTATGGTTAAGAATGTCTGAGTTCTGCTGTGTTACCTGTGGCAGATTATTTAATAGTCTAAGCCCCAATTTGCTTCTCTAATAAATGAAAAAAATAATACTGCCTCATGATATTACTGTGATGAAGAATGTTAAATAATACATTTGTGCTTAATATAGTACCTTATTACCTAGAAAATTAAGGAAATGGATAGAAAATACTAAGAAAACTCAAATAGAGCATAACAATTTAAACATGGTTTGATGGCTCGCAGTTATTTTGTTTACAGGTTCGACAGATAAAATTGGTACGAGTTGATAAAGGTAAAATACTACAGGATTTCAAAACATCTTCAACTGCATCATGAAAATATTATGTTCCATAGTTGCAGTATGGAAAATGACATTTAAATACAAATAAATGTCAGTTATTCAGCAAAGATTCCTAACATTTCTTTATAAAGAAACTGCAATTAAGTTTTGTATCTGTCCTCTGTGAATCAGTAATCCTGCCAGACTGGTCTGAAGACTAAATAAGTAGTACTTTAGTTTGACCAGTTTTTGGATTCATGATTTTTTTTAATTTATTCAATTAGGCATTCAGTTATTTTGTTAGGTAGGTAACTTGTTCTTACCAGGGATCAAACTCAGGATGTTGCACTTGCCATGCAGGCACTTAAGCCGCTGAGCTGTCTCCCCAGATCCACACTATTTTAAAAAGTTTATTCATATGAAATTTGTGAACAACCATCTTAGCATATAACTTGAAGACAACTTTGTAAAGTTTTATGTAAGGCATTTCCATGACATTCAGTAGTTATACTATTATTTTCAAGTTTGAACTTAAAAGTAATACTTGAAATAAAATCTCTTCAATGAAGTACATTATTGTTTTTTAGCCAATATCTTCTGGAGTATATTGATTCGAAGTAGGTTATCATTAAATGTCTTGTATACCTACATATTTTACCAAGTTAATACTGTCATTAAGGCAAGGTGTTTTTTACATTAGACATGTGGCAAAACTTTTAACATAGTTGCTCAAATGTGTATTTCTCCTATGGTTAAAGGTACTGTACAATAGAGTTTTAATGAATTCAGGAACATTGAAGAGGCATGGCTATCAGAGCCATTTCAGATATCCATTCAGTATAATCAGCAATTTAAGTAAAAATTACAAAGTAAGATATATTTTTACCAAATGAATGTATGTATCTATATATGTCTATGTATTCATCTGTGTATATATCAATACTGCTTTCTGTTACTCATTGTGTACACATGTGAGGTACAAACACACCTAGATGCAACAGATATATATATCAACTGCATCATGAAAATATTATGTTCCATAGTTGCAGTATGGAAAATATATATATATGGAGAGAGAGAGAGAGAGAGGCAACAGATATATATATCAACTGCATCATGAAAATATTATGTTCCATAGTTGCAGTATGGAAAATATATATATATGGAGAGAGAGAGAGAGAGAGAGAGAGAGAGAGAGAGAGAGAGATACAGCCTTAGAGTATGGCCTTAGTAATGAACACACAGTAAACAGGACTAAAGCATGATGGTTGACTAGACCTTAGAGGTTATAAACAACTCAGATGAATCCACACTTCTCAGCGCACCAAAGAGAAATGTGGCCCTGTCATTTGAGAAACAAATTGAATCATCACAGACAGTGCATCTCACCCAAGAGGGAGTGTGCATACTGACAAATGAACTAAATACACAGGGTGGAACAGCTGTAGATAAAAATGAAGCCTACCCACAGTACAATTCTGGACAGGTACAACCTCTATGGATTTCAGTGTGGAGATCACCCCAAAAGTAGGAAGAGAAATCCCAGTCAACACAACAATCCACTTTTGGGTTTTTTTCCATAGAAATGGAAAACACCCTACCCCAGGGACTTATATGTACCAATGCATAGACCAACACAATTTGCCATGGTTTATACTCAGAGAACAGATAGGCCCACCCACAGAGCAATGAATATAACAAAGTTGTAACGTTTTATACAGTGAAGTATTAGCTGTAAGGAAAGATAAACTTGAGGGCTTTATTAGTCAATGGATGCAAATAGAGACTCCTCAGAAGTGAATTCCAAGAGAACTCTACCCATAAACAGGGCATTGGCTCTCTAGTTTAACAATCTGAGTCAGTAAAATATAAAAGCTACAATTGATAGAGAAAGAAAAAAATCAAGAGAATGGAAGAAGTGGAGAAAGGAAAATAAAGAATAAAGAAATAAGTAGTCAAATTCATGGATATATTGACATAAAATAGTTAAGATGATTGAAGATGTAATTTCTATCACATTTTTGGAAGATAGCACTTAAATTATAAATGATGCACTTTTACCTATTTTTTTCTGGTCATATCTAGTAATCTGAGCAACCATGCTGAATGAAAAAACTGCACTATAACAACCAGTGTTCAATATATACCTTGTTGGGTTTAAAAAAAAAAGTTTTGCAGCTGTGAGATAGAGAACATAAGAAATCTTGAGGTAAATGGTCAGGGTAAAATGGGAGCCTGGGCTACCTCTCTCCAGGTTACATTTTTTTTTTCCTACCTTTTTTGTGTTTCTTTTTCATAAACAAGCCTACTTTATTTGATATTAACTTATTTTTTTTAGGTGCACTAAAGTATATTTTTGCATTTTCATGTTCTCTTAACTTTTAGGTATGTCCATTTTAAACAAAACAAAATGGAAAGGTGGAACACTACAAATTCAGCTAGCAAAAGAAAGCTTTTTACACAGGTAAGGTTGCTCCTCCTGGATTTATACCCCATTTGTGTATGTTGGTTTTACATACTCACTTTCTTCAAACAAAGAAATATTTGATAATTTCAAAATTACCAAGTGATATAATGTATGGTTAGCAAATGCATACAGGTAGAACTGAAGACCCTCTCAAGCCTGATTCTTTGTGCCAGACTCCACCAATAGAGAATTAATGCAGTACATTTACCTCTGTATATATTAAACTATAAAATAGTTATACATTTATTTTCCTTTTTAAAACAAGTTTTTTCTGGCATACATAAGCTTTCCCCATTTTTGTAATGACTGTTAGTACAATTTCAGAGAATAGTTATACGAGAGAGTAGTTTTTCTCTTCCACTGATGACATTTAGACCACTTCCACCTTTTTATGATTAGATGATCCTCCACGTGCACAAATTTTTCTCAGATTTCTGTCAGCAAGTACAGTTACGTGGACTGGGAATGTAGCCCAGCACTCGACTGGCATGTAAAGGGCCTGGGCACAGTTCTCAGTACCATCAACCACGAACCCAAGAAACAAAAAGTGTTGCTGAATCATAGGATTATGTACATGTAAAATTGTAATACACTATTGAATTATTTATGTTGATTTAGACTAATGCTATATCATACAAAATACAAAGATAGGAAAATATTTAGAAGAACAAAATCTATGTAGTAATTTAAGAACAAGTCAGCATAACAAGTTTTAGCACTTAAAAAAATCTAAAGATAGACTTTCAAATAAAAGGATTAGTTTAGGAACTTTTGAATATATGAATGGAGTAACCATGAACATTCATCAGATTGTTCTACACCAAGAAGGACACAGTCTAAAGCAAGTGACAAGCTGTTTGGGGTGACTGGTCTCATGAGAAAGATAAGAATCTGATTTTTTCAGCAGCTGGGGCATGCTTCTGGCTATAAACAGAGCAATCATGCATTTTCTGTTCAGCATTTAATGTGACCATGGGCAAGTCCCTTGAGCCTGTGCCCAGCAAGAGAGCACATGGTGCTGCTGTCTTGCAGCATGGATGCAAATGTGCTAGAGGAGCATGGTTAGGGAAAATAGGGAGAGAGCGCAGAGGCCAAGAGACCAGTGTAGATTGGTCAGAACAGTTGTGGAGGGCTGAATGAGTTGAGATAACTTGAATTAGAAGGCTGACGTGCCATCCTGTACTTTAGGAAGGCAGAAACTATCACAAATTAAGCTAAAGGCATGTCTTCCTCATAGGCAGCAGTAAAGGGAGGAAGGATATATAAAATGCCAAACGTTCTTAAGTTGGAGAACTTAAGAATTCAGGGAGTTTTTGATTGGTGGTCTTGATCTTCCATTAAGTGGAATCAAGGTATCTGCTGGAGCAGAGCAAAGATCTCAGGACGCCAGGACCTGGAGAGGACAGGCAGGAGGAGAGAAGCCTCTGTGCCCAGTCCTCTACTGTTCAGTCAGCTGCAGTGGGACACTGGTAAATCAAATAGACTTACGTGGTTCATACTGTACAGTGATCTCAGTTATGTGTTCATAGAATATATAATAAGTGGGGATTTGATTGTCGTTTTTTGGGTTTTGTTTAGGTTTATCTTTTTGAGACAGGATCTCTTTATGTAGTCTAGACTCGCCTTGAACTCACTATGTAGCCTAGACTGGCCTCAGATTCACAGCTGTCTGCCTGCCTCACCTGGGATTACAGGCATACAGCATCACACCCAGTAATGACAAGTTTTAAAAAGGTTACCCCAACTATATCTACAGGATTATTTAGATTACTTTTTTTTTTTCTTCTCTTTTTGTCTTTTTGAGACAGGGTCTCACTGTGTAGTTAGGCTGGCCTTTAGCTCACTTTGTAGCCCAGGCTGTCTCAAACTCAACAGCCTTCCTGCCAGAGCCTTACAGGTCCTGGGATTACAGGTGTATGGTACCACATCTAGCCTTAGATTACATTTTTTGCATGTATATGTATAGAATGAAGCTGAAGTAACAAGACAAAAATTTTAAAATAGAATATGCATGAGGAACTAGTTTTTGTTTTCTTCACATTCCCATGTTTTCCATGTATTCTACAATGAAAAATATGTGCTCAGAAAATTATGCAAGCCATCATGCTATTTATCAAGTCTTTTTCTTGTCTTTGGGGTTTTGTTTTGTTTTAATTTTATGTGTTTGGTACAGGGTCTCACTTCACATCTCGGACTCTTAGTGAATTTGTTTCAGCCTCTGCAGTGCTGGGATTATAGATGTGTGCCACCACACCTGATCTTGGTGGCCGGCTCAGCCTGCCCAGGGTGGGGCTGGCATGGCATGTGGTACCCAGGATCAAACTTGGGTTCTTGCACTTGCCAAGGCAGGCACTTAGACCACTGAGCTATCACTGTACCTCTTTTTTTTTTTTTTTTTGGTATTTGTTTTATTTACTAACTTTTTTTTTTATTGTACTGGGGATCAAACTCAGGACTTTGTGTTTGTCAGTCAGGCACTTATGCCAGTGAACTATCTTCCCTGGCTCTGTCTTTTGATTTTTAATACTGTAAAGCTGTTCAACAGTATTTAGGATCAATGGAAAGAAAATAATCATTTTCCATGATCTATCATTTTAGCTTTTACTTGTATTTTCCCTTTGATTCAGATTGGCCCAAGAAAGAGAAGAAGCAAAAGCAGAGAAAGAAAAATCAACAGCAGGTAACACCAGCTTATTGGAAAAGATGAGAGAGGTTGATTTCCATATGAAAGCTGTGCCAGGAACAGAAGTACCAGGACACAAGGTGAGTGTCTTCTAATAGCCTGGGCCAGCCCAGAAACTGACACGTGAGGCCACATCCTGTGGTGTCTTGTCTAATGCTAGTTGATTTTCCCCCCTTGCTTTGAAGTAGTTAATATAGATACCACTTTATTGTTTTCAAAGTGTATTTGTAATTTAGATAAGCATAGTTCCTTATCATTTTAAAAGAAATGACAAAAAAGTCAAAGCCCAGGCAGATGCAGTTTATTAAGGGATATAGATGTGACAACTACAAATCATCCAGAGTTTGCCTTTGTAATAAGTAGATAGCTGGTGTTTTCTATGTAATATCCTCCATGCTATTTTTGGAATTCACAGTTGCTCTAAATTTCCTTCTCTTTTTTCTTTTCTCTCACTTTTTCTCATTGATATTTTTTACACTGATATAAAGCTAGGTCCTACAGTAATAATGGCTCACTATGAGTTCAACTTTATATTAAAATTATGTGTGTATATTGTTATTTTATATGTATTTGTGACATATATATTGTAAATACATTTTTTTCTCTCTCTAGAATTGGGTTGTCAGTAAATTTGGAAGAGTCTTACCTGTTCTTCACCTTAAGAATCAACATAAACGTAAAATATCCTTTGCAATAAGCCTCTCAGTATTTATCGGTCTGATAGATACTTGCAAATACATTTTTAATTGCACTGCCTTGATCAATACATTGTTGGATATTGATTTAAAAGTGTTTTTGTTCCCACTTCTTAGGCAAAGTAAGATCTATCATCTACATGTATAAAACAATTATTATTAGAGAATTAGAAGACAATGTCATGAGGTTTTTATATAATTAAGAAATATGAATTAAGAAGCATGATGAGGGGCTGGGTAGATAGCTCAGCAGTTTAAGCACCTGTCTGGCAAGCACAGGGACCCAGGTTCGATCCCTGGAACCACATGCTGTGCAAGCTCAGCACCATACTGGCCCCTGAAACCAGGTGTGGTGGCACATGCCTATAATCCCAGCATTGGGGAGGCTGACACAGAAAGATCACTGTGAGTCTAAGCTGCATAGTAAGACCCTGTACCAAATAAGTAAATCTTTTTAAAAAAAAATGATGAATGCCAATGAAGCAGTTTTATTTATGACTTTATATATCATGTTGCATATGAATTCACAATTGCCAATGGATTTGTAAAGGGGTAAAAGAACAAAGGCTCATTGTAAAAGAAGGCTTTAGAAGAACTGAGAAGACTTTCAAATTATTAGAAAAGTAGTAGGAAGTAGCTAGGAATGGCAGCGTAAACCCGTAATCTCAGCACTGTGGGAGGGCAAGACAGGAGGATCTCAAGCTTGAGCCCAGACTGGGAAGCTTAGCAAGACCTTATTACAAAGCAAAAAATTAAAAAGGGCTTGCGTTATAGCTTACTCTAAAGGTCTGAGGTTCAACCTATGGTCCCAGACATGCTCCCTCTTTGCCCCCCTAAAAAAGTAAGAAGTGGCCTTAGAAAGAGGGAAATGGAAAAATATTACACAAAAGTACGCAGACCATCAGGAAATTGGGCAAAGAAATGGTGCTGAGAGGTAGTTTTAAGGCTAGGCAAGTTCTCATCCCTGTTCAGTGAAATCATAGACCTATTCTGAGACCTTGAAGTGGTGCTGTCATGGCCATCTATGTAGAAGGCACATATATATTATCAGAGGGTTTACAGTAGTGTCTGTGTATACTCTTTAAGTAAGTTCTGCCAAATGATGGTGGTTTTAACTCTGGAAATGTCACAGAGAGCTTGATTTCATCAACCCTGAACGATTACTAGAGGAGTCCTCATTTGATAATCTTGGTAAGAAGTTAGGAGTAAGATGAAGTAAGTAAATGGCTTGCTTGAGATTAAACACTTTTATTTTTCTACCAGACTGATGCATTTCCCTAACTGTTAAGTGCTTTTGCTTAGTTCCTTGACTTGGGAACATCATGAAATATGATCCATCAAAATACTGCCACAATCTAAAGAAGTTAGGGGAGGATTTCACAAATACCATTCCTGTAACTAGCCTCACTTGGGAATTGGAAGGAGGTAATGACCCAATGAGTAAGAAGCGGCGAGGAGAGTTCTCTGATTTTCATGGTACTGTCAAGAAGATCAGGAAAGTACAGAAGGGCCAGAGTTCCACTGAGAGCCCAAGAACCAATTGGATTATGCAGAGTGCTGTATCACCACAGCAACGAGCTGTACAAAAAACACCTTATGAGTCCATTATTTTTTCAAAATCACACTCTGTTCTGGATTCTGATGTTCAAAAACTTAAAAATACACTTTGTCAGACTTCTAGCTTAGAAACTGTCAGGAACATAAATAGCATCTCCGATGATGATATTGATTCTGAAGATGAATTAAGAATAATGATTGAAAAAGAGAAACAGTTACAGAGAAACTCACGGTCCTCCATCAATGACTCTGAAAATGATTCCTTTGAAGTTGTAAGAAATGATTTCAAATCAGATGTTCATAAACTTCATTCTTTATCAAGTCTATGTGTGAATAATGTCTCTTGCAATGTTAGTGACAATATTATGGGAAATGATTATGAGTATGATTCAGGGGATACAGATGAAATCATTGCAATGAAAAAAAACATCAGTAAGGTAAAAAACAATACAGAATTTTCTCAAGCAGAAAAACCTCTAAGCAAAAAATGTTTCCAAAAGAAAGAGCTTTCAAATCATTGTAGTAAAGTACAAAGAAGAAAAAACAGCAAAGAATCAGCTCTTAGTCATGGAATGAAGCCTCTTAATCATAAATATCCAACTGATTCCAACAGCAGTGACAATGAGGAATCTGGAGATGAAGAATATCAAACCATGATGAAAAACTGTCCCCGAATTAATCTCAGTTTAGGTGATTTAGAACAGCTGGTAGGCACTAATCCTGAGGCTCCAGAAGATACTGAGAGCAGTGACCCACAAACTACCACAAGCTGCAAGATGGATAGATCTAAAAGCTCCAAGACTCTCCATGGCATCCACCCAGGCAAACAATGCATTTGTCCTGAGGAGATTCTGGCTTCCCTTTTAGAGGAAGAAAATACCGATAATAAACAGAAACCAAAGGAAGATAAGAAAAAGCCAAAATTTCAGGCCTTTAGGGGAATAGGCTGTCTCTATGGAAAGGAATCAGTGAAAAAGACCTTGAATATTGCCTCGAGCAATATTAGTGAAGAACAAAGTTCCTTGAAACATGGGAGTTCCAATAGCATCTCAGTAGAAAATGGGCTGCCACATGCTAATGGTTCACCAAGCAAACTAACTACATGGCAACATCCAGAGAAGACACATCACACAAACCACATTCAGCTTCAAAGACAGTTTATTTGTGAGACTCAAGGGCACAAGGTGGTCTCAAGCAATTCAGACAAGGGAAGTAGAAATGTTATTTCTAGTCTGTTGTCATTGAAAGGTAAGAAATCCTTAAGTTTTGATTCAAAGATTCACAAGATAGGACTTGATAGAGATAGTTGCCATGATACCCAACAGAGAGAAGAGGAAGAGAAGCCTGATTCTAGCAGCCTCATGTCTCATGGGGAACCACCAAAGCACTCTCCAAGGGAAGACACTCAGGAGAGCACAGCTGACTTCTCACTTGCTGTTACAAACTCAAGTGTAGATACTCAGGCTAAGCCTGCTGAAGATAATCAGAAGCGTTTGGCAGCCTTGGAGGCAAGGCAGAAAGCAAAAGAAGCACAGAAGAAGTTGGTGCACAATGCACTGGCAAATTTAGTAAGTATATTTTCAATACATGGGTTTTATAGAAACACTTTTTTTTTTTTTTTTTTTTTT